TTTAGCCGGCTGCGCCTGCAAACATACTCTAAATAATGCCAATACATATTTATTTAGACAGCAGGTGAACAAATCATCATGTTCCTGCTTTCTTCATAAATACAATCCTACATTCATTGCCTCATCTTCTGCACATAAATACAGATTTATCATTTGACCGCAGCCACGTGAAATCAAATCTTTATCGGTGCGTTTAGGAGGCCACTGGAAGTATTCAGGGTACATGTGCACAGACTTTGGAATGTTTTGGGTTATTGAAATGTAAGATAAACGTTTTAAGAAGGATGGCGAGGCAGATAAACCACCAAATGTAAAAAGCAGGAGGACTCAGGCAGGCAGAGGGACGGCCAACTGTTTCCTGTATTAGCAGATGTGGGGCTGAACTCAGAGACTCAGATGAGTAAAATATACTTAGATTTGTTTTAACACTGGCAGAGTCATCACAGAGCTGGATTCTAATCTTGTGCTTGGAGAGTAACACAATGACAGAGGAGGAGAAGCTCCTGACGACACGCTGCAGATCTCTTTATTCTGACACGGCTGTCTTTGCTTGGCAAACTGTTTTGTTGATACAATTGAAATAACAGGGTGGACCAGATGAAATTCAAAATGAAATATGCTTGGCTGATTTTTGAAGGGACTAATTTTGCATCTATTGTTCCTTCAGGGCTGTACATGAGGTCTATGGCTATCCTCTGATATTATATTTATGGAAATCAAGATATAACTGTTACATTTATTTAACATACATTTTCCAATTTGAGAGCACAGTGGACCTATTGTGACTGTATATGATGGAAACGTTTGGAATAGTGGAATCATGTTGGTACATATATTCATGTCATGAAATAAGAACGTTGCTTGTGAGCAGCATGAACATGTTGTGCATGATTACATCAGGGGGGCATGACTGCTGATATTTCCAAAGCTGTTATTCAGAAATCATCTTTACAAAGTTGTCAATTAATCCTAACCTATCTGAATTGAAGGCAATTTAGGACAAAGCAGAGAACAGATGTTGCAGAACATTAATAGTGTCTGCAGAGAAGTGTCTGCAGAGAAGAGTCTGCATTGAATGTGATATATCTGAAAACATTGTATAACTGTGTTATGTGTGACATATATGACAAAGGAGAAGAGAGATTGTGAGCAATGAAACAGAAGAGTAATCCAGTTATTCTTTAAACTATGTTATAAACAACCAGACGCTGGCTGTACAGGGGGATTATCTAATTACATTGGAGTTGTCCTATGTGGGGAATTATCTAAAAACAGCTACATAATTGTTGTTCCTTGTTCCCTGCTGACTCTGGTCTGAACAAAACACAAACAAATGACTTTGATTCCCTCTTCAAAGAAACATAGAGTTCGGTTAGATCCTATAATTGGAACATTGTTGGTGTTCATCATGCTGTGAGACCACTAGCAGGTTAGCAATTCATGCCATCACACAGTTTTAACTTTGTTTAACTTCACCTGGAATTAAGAATTTGAGTTAATTCTGCTGTAAATCATCATTAGAGTGAAGCAAAATGTACATATAACCTTGGAAATAACCAGCAGTTAGGGAATCACAATAGTAGGAAGTTATAAGAGTATAAAAGCATTTATACACGGAGCACCTCAAGGCAAGAGTTTGCATTCATGACTCACAGATGTGTCACTAGAGTGCATCTCCTGTCAGTCAAAGACTCACCAAGGTAACAGGCAGCTTGACTGACAGCACACTTACCCCCCCCCCCCCCCCCCCCCCCCACGCTCTCTCTCTTCACCTCCCTCTGATAACAGGGTTACAGTAGAGGGGATCTAATACCTGCTGTGATGGTGGAGTCATTCTGCTGACACTGTGGATTCCAAGCTTTCCTTTACTTTCCTATTCATGGTAGTATTTAATGCACACATATTATTATAATGGATGGCAGACTGAAGCAGTTTGCATGTTTGTTCATGTTTTTTCTCTCCTTCTACAATTGCTGTCAATTCTAAATGATTTTTCAATGATCTTTTCTTTAAAGCTGCAATCAAATATTCATTTTCATTGTTTAATGAAAATAGCCAAACAAGGAACATATCAGCTTCTTCAACGACCTGACGGTGACGTTGACAAAGTATGACATAAAGTTATGAAGGCAATTTGTATAGCAAATGTTGAACTGCTGTAGTTTGTTACATATCTGAAATATAGATCAGTCCCGGTCATTATTTATAATTGTTCATCTTCATGTTCTGCTTCTGTCTCTTATACTGTATCCCCCCATTATTGTATGCCAGTACACAGTAACTGTATTAGCTTAGTTGAAAGCAATAATATGATGTTGTCCACTCTCCTTGCAGCTCCGTTTGTTATTACCAACTACTGAAAAGAATAACTAGGCCTTACATATTCCACCATGTTCATCAGCTGGTCGCTGACTTGATCTCTTCTTGATCTCCTCTTTTATACGTGTTGTTTGGTGCTCAGCATGTCATTCATAGGGTTTATAGAGTTAATGTATAAAAAGTGACGAGTGCAACTTTGAATTAAAATAAGGAAACTTACGAGAGAGATAGTAATGTATGGCATCATGGTCAAGACAAATGATTTACCACTTAAATTCACATACAACCAGTTTATGAAAATCTTTGCAATCTCTCAGTCAAATGATATGATGACTATAAACCACAAGAGTGACTACTCTGAATCTTCATTTCGATCAGAAAACATTTCAAACAGCAAATGCAGCTGTAATGAAGAATAAAAGAATGAATCAAATAGATATAAGTAAAACATGTCCAGAGAATGATGCATTCAGGAGGATTATAATGTGAAATGGAGTATGCTGATATCCTTAAACATTTAGGAAAACATATGTAGAAAAAAACACAAATTAGACTGTTGTTCATGGTGACATATGCGAAAACAGACGTTAATAGATTCCAGTATTAGTTATCTTTTAATGGGGATTTTGGGAATTGATTCAAGGTTATTGACATCAGTACTTATCATGTTAACCTATCTGGCATGGAAAGGTTTACAATAACCCTTAACTTTAGCATCTGTCTGATCTGCCGTTTCCAAACCCATAAAAAGTGAAATCACATCCTGTGAGAAAATCTGCAGCTGACTGTTCACCATCATCACGAGCACATAACTGAACATGTGAGTACAACGAAAGCATTCCCACATACATCGATTTCCTCCCTGCTGTTCTGTCTTCAACACATTTCTTACTCATAGGTATGCACAGGAGTGAACTGGACAATAGCAGAACATCACATTATCAATCACTTGTGCTTTAAGTATATTCTCATCACTGTACATTTCTGTCCGAGGCAGACTAAAACACCTCCCTTAAAAATGCATCTGCTGCCCACAGAACACATCGATCACTCTGCAGTCTCGGGAACAGCTTCTGCAAACCAGGTTAAAAGCACACATTCATAACACCTGAAAAAAGCTTCATAGCAGCTGCACGGTACATTCATCATTATTCAAGTTGACTCTGCTGTCTTGTTATTCATACAGTAGTGTCATCGGAGGCCTGGGAGTGGACTGGAGCCAAATGAGGAAAAATGTCAAAAACAGCCAGCCCACACAGGTTTTATGAATTGAAGGAGTTTTATACCAAGGGAGTTTACCCTGCTTCTCCACCACTCTCCATTTGAATACTTACTGTAGGTGATAAATATGATACAACTGCTGTTTTCTGGTTGACTGACGTTTGAGTTTCAGTATGATAACATGCTCATTAAAGAAAGCCTTCTGATTTTGTTCCTTCTTTTGCATTACTAAACACAAATCAATGTATGCTTGAGTTATACTGAGTTATCCATCCCAATTCACACAAATGTGTGTTTTTTATATAAGCTATACTTTAGATGTATAACCTTTTTTTTTAAAACAAGCTGATTATCTTTCAGTAAAACAAATTTCATAAAAATGTACATACCTTTAACAGGTTGATATGTGATAAAATAGCAAACAATAACTTAAAAAACAAACAGAAAAACTAACTCATGCTTGCATTTTGGTTTTTGTCTTGACAAAACTTTCCAAAACACTGTTGTGGTCCTTTAAGAAGCTTTTTCTGCTCTGACTTGTAGAGGATTGAAAGCCTTTTCATTGATATTTCGAATTGTATCTTTTGTTAAGTAATGCTAAATTGTAGTCAGTGGACAAATAAACCAACACATGACAAGCTGCAAGCTGTTGTGGCCCTGTGGATCCTATAAAGAATTGCATAAAAGCCCCACCGTTCAACCAAGATAATTAAAACCACTGGTCAAAGGTTTTTTATGAAATATGCATGTGTTAATGTAGAATCTTTAACTTAAAACTTACCATCAGTGAAAATAATACTGGTTAAGACTTAGACAAGACTTAAATGCCAAAAATATCTTGTAAAAAAGTTGACTAATTCAATTTAGTTTAAAGCAGTACAGGCTTCACCTCAGTGTAACATAACCGTATTAGGTTAGTTGAAAGCACTCATTTTAAGTTTAATTAAAAAAGATTAGGTTCAGCTTAATATTATTGCTTTCAACTAACCTAATACAGTGATGTGAAATCTGTTGACTTAAAGGTCACCTATTATGCAAAATCCACTTGTTCATGTCTCCTCTACATCAGCATGTGTCCCCTCTGTGGAAAGAGATTCTGAAAGTTTCAGGAACAAAGATTCTCTCTCTTTTTGTCCTGATCCATTTATATAAAAACCTGTCTGAAAATGAGCTCATCAGATTTTGGCCACTTTATGATGTCATAACGATTTTTTGGCTTGTGTAACTATTAGCCAATAACCAACCAAGGTAACCCCCCCCCACCTTATCACCTGAATCTCCTCCTAGAGCACCGTTGTGTTCTTTTAACCAAATCTCTCTCAGAGGGGCGTGGGGAGGGGCTCCTTATTTTCATCTAAAGTAACAGACAGAGAATCAGCACTTTGGAAACAGGGCTGAAACAGAGGGGATTATGGGTAATGCTGCAATGATCTGTTATTTGGAGCCAAACACTTCAGAGACATGTTTTGTATATATCTGAGACCTCTTATATATTGATGAAAAACAGTATAATAGGGGACCTTTAATACACTTAATTAAAGTCAACGTTTCAGTTTTTTTATGTTATCTGTATGTTAAACTTTAAACTTTACTGTAGTACTGACCAGCACCTTAACCCATATAAACCTTATCATAAATGTCTGAAAGTACCATTTCATTTTTTTGTGAATATGCCGTGAAGCTGCTATGAGCGGTGTTTCAGGAAAGCAGAAAACAACAGTGCAGGAATAGTCTGTACACGTTTGTACATGTTCTACACACATTAGGATGAAAATAAATGCTGTGCACTATGCTGTGGGACTTTGCCTGAGAAATCAAGGTTCACCATTTATTAGTCTGAAGTGTTTATCACCAAGGACCTGTTACTCTGTTTTGCATACAACTGTAAAAATACAGTAAAATTCATCAACCACATTGCATTTTTTCCTTTTTTTGTCATTTACTTAAAAAAAGCTTAATGGTATTGTACAGATATTGAACCGGACATGACACAATAATAATAATAATAATAATAATAATAATAATAATAATAATAATAATAATAATAATCTGAATGTACACTTCAATATTAGCAATAGCAATAAACAGTCAACTATCAACAGTTACACATATTTTTTCTTCTTTTTGCCTTTCACATACAAAAAGGTTTGGGGGGACACAAACTCAGTAGTTCTAACATCATCATCATATTAGTGCATGATTCAAATTTCCCTCCATCGGATTGATGCCTCTCACTCTTGGCGAGCGTACAGAGAACAGACTCTGATGCAAAGCCAGAAAGAAAAAGAGAAAGAAAACTAAGAAGCAACCACTGGCCCTCTTAACTTCCCGTTCTTCTTGTAGGACTGATAGTCTGTTCTTTGCGCTCAGTGCTGTGGGAGCAGGTGGTCCCCTCCCATCAGAACCTCAGCAGGTAGAGGGGGGCTACAGTCAGCAGGAGGCAGACAGAGGCCCGGGGCAGGGCGGCGGCCCCGTTCACATCGTGCATGGCCCCCGGACCTGCAGGAGAACACAGTACTTACAGCAATACTGCAGTATCAGCACTTAAATCCAGAGGTGGGAGGAGTACTCAGATCTAGTACTTGAGTATAGAAGTACTCCGATCTAGTATTTGAGTAAGTAGAAGTACCAGAGTGTAGGAATACTCTGTTACAAGTAAAAGTATTTTATTCAAAATGTGACTCAAGTAAAAGTAAAAAAGCATTGGCATCAAAATATAGGTAAAGTACCAAAAGTAAAAGTAGTCATTAGCCGCTTTCACACCAAGTACTTTGCCGTACTTAGTGCCCAGCACTTAGTGCCAGCACTTAGTTCCCCCATGGAACTTAGTACAGATCGCGTTCACACCGGAATAAGTTCCCTGGGAAGATTACGCAAATGAAGCCGCTGACGTCACTTCTTCTTCTTCTGCTTTGGGTTTACTGGCATGCCGCAAACAACTTCACGGCGTATACTGCCACCCGAAGTCCCCGGCCGGAAGTCCCCGGAGTTGGGGACTGGCTTCAGTAGAAGCTGCTGGGACTCCCAGCAGCTTCTACTGAAGCCTTCCGAGTAAATCGCCAGAACGCCGACACCTCCTCATCACTCCACCGCTCCCATGTTTTTTTTGTGTTGCCATAAGTTATTCTCTCTCCGTTGGTGCGCGGGGCTAATGCTAATGCTAATAATGCTAATGCCAGCAAATACAATGGCGGCTTCACAAAACTTTTCAGAATTTTACGGGGCGTGGTTTGCAATTCGCCCAGCCAATCAAAATTGGTACTTTTTTCTCTCCAGGATAGTACCACCTCTCTAGCAGGCACTAGAAATGGGGGTAAAAGTTCTCGGAACTAAGTACTCTTTTTGGTGTGAACGCAAAATTCCAGGCACTATCGGAACTAAACGGGAAAAGTACGGGTAAAAGTACTCCGGTGTGAACGTGCCTATAGTCCATTTCAGAATAATATATATGTTATGTTTTATAATGATTGATCATTAAAGTGTTCTCAAAGCTGGTAAAGGTGCAGCTAGTTTTAATGACTTTGAATACTGCAGGGTAGCTTGTGAATTTACTCCAGGTGGAACTAAAGTCTGATTTAACACTTGATTATTATCATTCATCTAGATCTGTAAAGTAACTAAAGGTATTAAAGGTCCCATGACATGGCCATTTCTACTGATCATAATTCCATTGTTGAGGTCTACTAGAATAGATTTACATTGTTCAATTTTCCAAACTCACATTGGTTTCTCATACAGCATCTCTGTAAAGTATGTGTATTCACTCTCTGTCCTAAACGGCTTGTTGGAGCTCCTGCCCCCCCCTCCCTATGAGCCCACTGTGCTCTGATTGGTCAGCTCGCCCACTCTGTTCTGATGAGTCCACCACCGTTACAGCGGAACATCAGTGATTATGACAATGGCGTTTGTTAGCAACCAGAAAATGACACCAGTAATGACAAACAGATGAGAATGCTGCGTGGGGTCTGGGTGCCGTGTTGGCGGGACGTTGCGGGGCTCGCTGCTTCGCCCTTTGAGGCTCGAGGAGCGGACAGTATGAGCTGGATTACTGGTGTCGTTTCCTGGTTGCTGCGTGGGGTCTGCGAGACAGCAAGACACCGCGGAACTCAGCCTGAACTCAGCCTGAACTCAGCCTGAGCACAAACACACACTCACAGCCAGGCTGTGATTGTGTGTGCGGAAATCTGCGGAGCCGCGGATGAGAAAAGATAAGGCTGAGTGAGTGTGTGTGTGAGGAGCTACGTCACTATGACCGTTACGTGACTATGACCAGGAAGAAAAAAATGGAAAAAGAAAAATGTCCAACGAGGCGTTCTGGGGCAGCATAGACAGGTATTTTCTGTGTTAGAGTTTTACTCGCTACAGGGTGTACTTTGAGGGTTTGTGACTCTGCAGACCGTTTACATGCAGAAAAAGCTTCATAACACACAAGGGGACGGGTAATAACCAGAAAAGCATGACATTGGACCTTTAAATACATGTAGTACACCATTGACCTCTGAACTGTAGTGGAGTAGAAGTACAAAGTAGCATAAAATGGAAATACTCAAGTAAAGTACAAGTACCTCAATATTGTTCTTACGTACAGTACGTCAGTAAGACTTCTTAGTTACTTCTTACCTCTGCTTAAATCAGTGCTTGAACTACATCTTTTCTTCAATATGAACAGTGATTAACTGGACCTCAGATGCTAAAAGGAATGCAGCTTATTATCTCTGGCAAATAAGAGCTTTACATCTGTGCTGCAAATTGCCATGGAAACTAGAGCAAGGTAGAAATGAAAAGGTAAACCAGCGAGGAACATACAGCGGATGACCTTCAAGTGAGGATGGTTTTTTTGTATGTTCTATGTGCAGCTGCTAGCATACCAATAACTATGTTCTAAACATAGACCATTAAAAAAATTAATTAAAATATTTTACCATAATTAACACTTTCATCCACCCCAGCGTGTTGTTTTTATACTCACCGTCTGTATTCTTACCATAAAGGATTATGCTGGCATTAGTGATTCCCATATTATTCACTGCAACACATGTGTAGTTTCCATAGTCTTCTTCGGAGACGTTGAAGAAGACGAGCATCGACTGTTTACCCTGATTCTCTATCTTAACACCATTCAGTCCATTGAAGAGCCTGGAAACAGAGGAGAGGCTTTGAGGCTGATGAACAGTAAAGAAAATAAACTCCGCTTGTGTTCATCCTCAGTCCTCTGAGGGGTGATAGATAGATAGATAGATAGATAGATAGATAGAGAGAGAGAGAGAGAGAGAGAGAGAGAGAGAGAGAGAGAGAGAGAGAGAGAGAGAGAGAGAGAGAGAGAGAGAGAGAGAGATCCAATTTGGGACATTGTTTTTGTTACAGCATTATGATACGACAATACTTTAATGGTCAGATCAAGTTCCGTCAAGATCCATTGCAATGTCAAACAAAGATATATATTAAGACTCGATACAAGGAAACATTGAACATAGTGTAGCATCAGGATCACTGAAGAGAAACTTGCTCAAAGAATCTCTGTCGTACATTAGACCTGGGATTAAGCTCTGTATTTAATGTTGGGACTGACTGGTGCACAAAGGAGAGCTTCAGTGTGACTTTATAGAATCCCGGGACCCTGTATCTGTATATCAGATGGTAACAATTCATATTCACTGTTCAGAACATGGAGGGGTCAGAGATGATGATGATGGACGTCTCATTAGGTTGTTATGGTGATTCATAAAGTCTCTCACAGGGTTGAGCTACAATCTTTGAGCAGATTTTTCACAATATTCTACATTATGTTTTTATAAACATTTATATTCTAATGTTTATATAAAACATTTTATATTTTGAGATGTATTATACAAACATCTCAAAATATAAGATACAATCTGAACTTTTACGTTTAAATGTAAATATATACATAGGGACAGTGGAAGATATATATCAGAAGACTGTCACTGGCTGATATTATGAACATGGAGTGTGATCCATGGGTCTGATTGTTGGCCTTTTTTCAAATCTTGGCCAGATGTACTTAAACAGGTCCTTCCTTCCTGCGGTGGTCAGACCACCACTGACCCTGGTAGACCCCCACACACATTTAACAACACAGACTATTACCCCTCTGTTGTAAAATAACACCAATGTGCAATTATGTAAAACACTCAAAATGAAACAAACAAAGACTATGACACCTGGCTGCCTCTCGTATTCAGTCCATCCATTACTGTAACAGGAATCTTTACGTAACTATGTGCAATAATAATTGTTATATACCACACTTCATTTTACAATACTACACTTACTTTATTTTATAAATACTGCTACTACTTATCTCCCTGAATGTGAACTTCTGTGAAATTGTAATACTTTTTTATTTTAAATATATGCATGCCTTTTTATAAAATAGTGTTCTATTCTCTTTGTCTCAAATAAAGGAATTCTGAAATTGAGATTGTCATGAAAATAGAAATACATTTACACGTATCGTCTGTCAAAGGTAAACCATTTTTCATATTAGAGCTAAAACTGAGTTCCGCTCAGTGAAGTGACTGCATGTGTGTGTGCACTCCATCCTTCAGTGCACAACAACATCCCTCCTGTTTCACTCACTGCATTTCTTATTTCATGTTTGGGGATGGTAAACATTTGTTTTATCAGTGACCTTCATTCTTTTACTCTTGAGGACTGATTTGGTCTTGTGGGGACTGATGAGCAGTGCTATGTCTGTCAGGGCCCATTTAACAGTGAGCAGTGTTTACAGCAGCTCCAGCCTGCACTGTAAACATGTTGTGCCTTGTGGGAATTACTTCTTAACCTCTGAGATACACCACACTTATAAACCGATTACAATTCAGTAATAATAATAGTTGCTTCTGTTTCCAATCCTGCTTTAAATATGATTTGACATAAAACAAGAAAATGAAAAAATGAAAAATATGAATTTTCCTGATATGATGATTAACATACAGTATTGCCCATTGAGAGAGCAATGTGCAGAACAAACAAGGAACACCTTATTACTTCAAAAGGACAGCCTCATTTTAAACAGGGATGTGTGAAGAGCCATGACTGATCAACACGGAGCTGCAGTCTGGTCCCCACCCTGCAGCTCCGTGTGACAGAAGTCAGTGTGTCTGTATTCTGACTTCAAACAATGTCATGCCTGCACAGATCACAGATTCAGAGTTCAGGAGGGAGACTCGCCTGCTGTCTTCTTTGTACCACTCAAAATCTGCCCTGGGGACAGCAGAGGCTTCGCATTGCAGGACTCCTTTTTGTCCCACTGCAGTACCCGTACTCCTCGCTTTAGAAATGAAGGGAGGGTCTGTAAAACAAAGTCAAATAAACTTGATGTTGGTGTCATATACAGAATAAATCCACATTTCTTGTTGATTTTGGCAAATTCCTTTTTCTTTTCAAATAAACTGACACAAAGAAGAATATGAAGCGGTTAGACAATAGATAGTGACAACAGTTACTTATTTTGAGTGCATATAAGACCAAATAGTCAAATAAAATGGTAAAAGAGTGGTCTTTATGTGATGATATTTTGCCCCAGCCCCACATGATTCCACCAGAGTGATCCGTTTGACTCTTACAGTTCACTGTGACTTGCACTGTCCTGACGTCAGGGCTGGAGATGTCGTTAGAAGCGATGCACTCGTACGACCCTGACAGCTCTTTGGTGACGGCTGTCAGCTCCAGATGTTCCCCCTCCGTGACAAATGTATGAGTGCCTGTGCAGAAATAAAGAAACAGACAGAGAAATGTGTTAGTAAATCAGTCGTAGTATTCGCAATTAAGAAACATGTGTGAAAGAATTTTCACTTCTAAATGCATATCACTGGGGCAGATATGTTATAGAATTGCAGCATCTTATCATTGATGTATTAATAGAATAAAAACATTTGTCCTAATGGTTTGATAACAGACAACAATCAGCTTTAGTGTACAAATATTTTCAACAAAAGTTTTATGGGAATTGAAATGATATATATATATATATATATATATGAATGTATATGTTATCTATTACGGGAGTGTGTGGGAGAAAAACTATCTCTGGAGGGAACACAGGGATTCTACTGTAAGGATCTTGGTGAAGGTGGGCTTATGTAATGCATTGGTGTGAAAACTAGAACACGAAAGACATTTTGCAGAAAGCAGTGGATGAGAAGTCATGTTGATAACATCTCAACTGTCACCTCTTCTTTTTAATTGTGAAGTTGAAATGTTAACTTAACGGGGGAGAAAAATATAGTAATCATCTGTGTGAAATATGTTGATATATTTAAGAAGAATACATTTAAATCAGAGACCAGTTGCAGTGTGTCTATGCATTTGGGATTTGCTGTGTTTCCAGAGGGCAGGCAGCTCAGGGCATGCACTCATTACACAAAGAAAATAAACTAATTGCATCGAAACAAGCCCACTTGACTAACAGCACAAATTACCCCTGACACCGGCAATGTTAAAGCATGTTCTGGTGACAGAAAGACCTTAAGCTATTGCTGCGTGGGTGGGAAATGGATGGGAGCACTAATCCCAATCAGTAGAAATGTCAATCTGGCAATATCTCGACACTAGCATAATACCATTATGTTTTCCAAATCCTCCGCTGCACACACTGTTGCAGCTGGCTGGGATTCACTGGGGGGGGGGGGGGGGGGGGGTGCTAGGGATAATCAGCTTGTTGCTAGCACAGGTAATTTAGCATTCTCATCATGGTAACTGTATTAGGCCGAGAGTGGCTGTTGAATTGCTAGCAGTGTGGTGAGAGAAAGTTATATGTCAAAATATAATCTTATTAGCTTGTTGCTTGTACACTGAATTATTTCTCTAGATTGCATTATTGGTTTACAATTACAGTATGGGTGTTTCTTAGGTGTAAATATGCCTCAAACTAAACTTAAATGATGTCTAAAGTAATGTAACAATAACTAGTAAGTGTAACCTTAAATTCAGACCTTTAAACACTTTGTGGTACATATTTCAACATTGGAGTATTTGGAATCTGCCCAGCCAAAAACCAAAAGATGCTTCAAAAAGTAATATACTACTTCAATTCAATAAAGCAGCTTCTTAAAACTTTAATTTTGTCAAAGATACAGTATTTATCTCCAGATTCTTTCAACCAAAGAATGGTCTCTTATTTCCTAACAAAAACTGATTTGAATGATATTTCACAACCTGCAACTCAGCTAGTGTCGGTCACGATTTAAAACAAGTTCCAGTAGTTTTTAATGAACTTTCTACTGATTCCCACTGAAGTCATGGCTGGTAGTGTGTGTGTGTGTGTGTGTGTGTGTGTGTGTGTGTGTGTGTGTGTGTGTGTGTGTGTGTGTGTGTGTGTGTGTGTGTGTGTGTGTGTGTGTGTGTGTGTGTGTGTGTGTGTGTGTGTGTGTGTGTGTGTGTGTGTGTGTGTGTGTGTGTTCTCAGTGTGTGTCCTCGTTATGTCATTCTTAGGTTTTAGAATTCAAACCAGAGAACAGAGCTGAAATGAAAGAATCAACTGATTGAGAACATTCAGAATGCACCGCAGAGCTGACAGAATGTAGGCAGTTACAAGAAGATACTGACCAAACATGGGACAAATCTAAGCATTATAATATAAATGTCAATCTGTATTACCCAGATAAATGGATATAAAGAAGTCATAATCATTACATATTACTTTGGATTAATGAATATAAAAAAACAATCACCATCATCATCAACACCCACATCAGTGGTCTGCAGCGACGGCCATTATTCCAGCAAACATCAGTGTCAGTGCAGCCCGACTGGATGACTAATCAGAGAGCCATTAAAGCACCGGCTGGCAGCGGCACAAATGAGCGTCTAAAAGCACTCTGTGGAGCACCTCAGCCATATTAGCCATTAGCTTAAGGAGCGTTGCTGCCCAGACGCCACTGTGTGCAGCTTTGTGGAGAGATTACTGAAGCCCAATTACAAGCATTATATTAAAAAAGAAGTAGATTGCAGGAAATGACTTGGTACCCTGACAGGAAACAAAAGGCCCTCTTTAGAACTGGTTGTATAAAAATGTAATACACTCAATAAAGGACAATTCGTTAACACTTCAACAAGTGGACCTCCATCTGACAGACTGCACTCAAGAACTGAAACGTTGACTTTAATTAAATGTATAATGTCAACAGATTTCACATAACTGTATTAGGTTAGTTGAAAGCAATACAATTAAGTTGAACCAAATATTTTTTATTTAAACTTAATATTATAGTTTTCAAATAACCTAATACAGCTATGTGAAATCTGTTGACATTATACATTTCATGAAAGTCAATGTTTCAGTTTTGTGTGGCAGGTCCCAAATGTAACTTCCCATAAAGGTACATTCATTTTAGCCTCCTTGAATTCTAAGCTAGTACAATGGTGCATTGACTATTGAGATGTGAGTTCATCCAACAGGAAATATGCCAGGGCCGCATTTTACAGCCAGTGGCCTTTTCGCCAGATTTTTAACACAAAAGCTATAATTTGCAAGCTGTAATCATTTGTGAAATCTGACACTGCAACAATCTGTGATCCCTGAGTAAGTGGCGTTGATCTTGTAAAATTAGCCCAAGGACTGAACACACATGCTCCCAAACAGACAAACATTAAATATGATATCCGATGCATGTGTTTAGGTGTGATACTTTAAAATGGTTGTTGTGTCGCAGCAAGAAGGTCTTTGATTCAAATCCACTAAATCGGCCTTTCTGTTTCCTTTGTATGTTCTTAACATGTCTATGAGCGTTTCCTCCCTTTCTAAATGAACAAAAAGTGAGATGTATAAATGATGTAAGTAAACTCCTCTGATAGAGTGAAGGCACGATAGAGAAATTAGAAAGATGAATGCTTCTGTTTCCTTGTTTCTTTTTTCTACATGACTGTGGGCCAGATTTAGAAAATGTCATATCCCAAATAAACAGAGGGATTTTTTTGAAGTGAATACATCCTGTTCTCCCAAACCTAAAACACGTAACAGAAAACAGAGAGGCAGCAGAACGCTCACAGGAGGACATGCCTGATCAAAAGAGAGGTGGAGAGCACTTTCTGAAGAGATTTCACCAATTATGTTAAACCAGGTTCAAATTACGGTTTACTGACCACAAACATCAAGGGTAGTTGAATACACTCAAAAGACCAAGTATTCTAAAATACAGTATAAATGAATTTCTCTGCCAAGCCAGCATTATGTCCATAAATGTACTTAAATGTAGGGAATCTAACCTACATCATGGGAAATCAAAGTGAAACTCTCATGGCTCCAAGACTTTTTAAAATCTTTAATGGTTACATATATGTCATTTAATTTCTATTAGACAACGTGCAGTGCGGTCAAACATAGAATACAAATTATCATGATTGAAACCTGGGGAACACAAAACTACACAAATATTTCCTCTTGATGGAATGGCGTGATAAACAGTTCATTGGGTTGAAATATGTCCCTCAGTGTAAGCAACATACAGAAGAACTCTGAGGAAGAGCTGCAGAGTTGGGATAAGATTGAAATGCGATACTGGTAAACAAAGTCACTAATGTCAAATGTGAGGATACAAATAAATTAATGGATTTTAGCTGGTAGCCAAAGAGACTACTACTGAATATTATTTATGTGCATTAAACAAGCCCCAAATGAGCCAGGCGTTGAAGCAAATATTTGTTGTGGCCAAACAGTGGTACTACAACCGCAATCTTTTTTCCCCATCGACTTACATTCAATATACTTATACTTGAGTAGGCCTTATATAAATAACAAGAGGCGCTTTCACACCAAGTACTTTTCCCAGGAATAGTTCCCGGAACTTTTCCCCGGAACTTTTATTTCCTGGAACTATCTAGTAAATCGCGTTCACACCAGAATTTAGTCCCTGAGGGACCCGCTGACGTCACTTCTTCTTCTTCTGCTTTGGGTTTACTGGCATGCCGCAAACAACTTCACGGCGTATACTGCCACCCGAAGTCCCCAGCCGGAAGTCCCCGGAGTTGGGGACCTTCCGAGTAAATCGCCAGAAGCGCCGACTCCACCGCTCCGATATTTTCTTTTGTGTTGCCATAAGTTAGTCTCTGTTGGTGCGCTGGGCTAATGCTAATGCTAATAATGCTAATGCGAGCAAATACAATGGCGGCTTCACAAAAACTTTTCAGAGTTTCACGGGGCGTGGTTGGCAATTCGCCCAGCCAATCAGAAATTGGAACCTTTTCGTGTGTGTGTGTGTGTGTGTGTGTGTGTGTGTGTGTGTGTGTGTTTGTGTGTGTGTGTTTGGGTTTTTTCAGAATACCGAGACGTTGGACAGGAAGTCACTTTCCTGAAAAGCCCACTTGAGAACACTTGATGTGAAGCTGACAGCAGCCAGCAGGTCATTCTAGAGTTTCATGGTTCCTCCACGTTTCAGAGCCCTGTGGTCACTCTAAGCTGTATTCTGCACCAGAAGACGGTACTTGAAACAGCCAACGGCCCATTTGATGACTGGACGCTCCAGCTGCCTGTGGAGCGGAGTCTCCCTCAGGACTGGCTTCCTGCTGACTCCGGCTCCTGGTCTTCTCTCTTCTCCCTCACCTTGCCGTCACATCGCACCAATACCTCTGCCTGAGGCCTCGGTCTGAGTGTTGAAGGGCAAACTAAAGTTTAGTTGCATCTGCCATCATCTTTATCTTTTTTTGATGACCTCCTATGACCACCTTCACTCTCCTTCCACTGCCCCCCTCGGGAGTAGAATTACTG